ATAGAAGTTTGGACTTGATTCTATTCGGTAAGAATTATTGACCTTGCACAATCAGCTCAATATCAGATTCTATCAGGAGTACCAATTATAAGTAATGACACACATTTTTCAAATACCGGACCAAGAAGTTTCTGATATTCTATAATATTGGTACAGAACATAGTTATTCAGTTATATATGCAGTTTCGTGCTACTGCATGCTTGAAGATATTTAGTTTTAGATATTGGATTTGATTTCTTATTTCCTTATTTCCAAATATGAGAGTGAAAGACTTGCCGTCGCCTACTTAAAGTCCGGGCTAACTGCCCCTCGCTTCCCGAAATACTTATTTTGCCCAACAAACAAATCATCCTAATGAACAGAGAAAAACTTTTTGCAGATCCAATGCAAAGTGCAGTGCTTGACTGGCCTAAACGGTTTCACATTATCAATGATATTGCTCGGGGTCTTACGTATCTCCATCAAGATTCCCGTCTAAGAATAATCCATAGAGACCTCAAAGCCAGCAACATTTTGCTTGATTCTGACATGAACCCAAAGATATCAGACTTTGGCCTGGCTCGATGGTTCGGAGGAAACGAGATGGGAGCTAACACGAGCCGAGTGGTTGGAACATAGTAAGAATCTCAATCCCTTATTATATGAAATGCTCTTCTATTGCTCATGACATAATTTCCTTATAAATTTTATCACCACGTAGTGGCTACATGTCCCCAGAATATGCTATAGATGGCCATTTCTCAGTGAAATCAGATGTATTTAGCTTTGGGGTTTTGGTGCTTGAGATAGTGAGTGGCAAAAGAAATAGAGGATTTTCTCACAAAGATCACCACCACAACCTTCTTGGACATGTAAGTATAGTTTACTTATTTCTATGTACTTGACAACGAAATTATTCTTTTTAGCATGTGAATTAGAAAAGATGGTTCTTTTAACTTAGTTTAGTAAGTACAGGCATGGATGCTATATAAAGAAGGAAGGTCTTTGGAATTAGTCGATACTTACCTTGGCATCTCGGGCTATTTATCAGAAGTGCTGCGATCGATCCATGTGGGACTGTTATGTGTTCAACAATGTCCACAAGATAGGCCAAGCATGTCTGCAGCAGTGTTAATGTTGGGAAATGAAGGTTTGTTGCCTCAAGCTAGACAACCTGGTTTTTTCACAGAAAGAGATGCTGAAAGTTCGAGTAGCACAAACACTGCAAATTCAACAAACCAAATGACCATTTCACTGGTGGAAGCACGATAAGTAAATTAGATACTTTAGTTACCCCTATGTTGCTTTTATTGTTATTCTTCAACCTGAATACTGTATTTATCATCCACTATAAACATTAGTTTTCTATTAAAGAAATAACATTCTCCTCTGCATGCACAATTGATGGATTCAACAAACATGATACCACTGGCAAACGATCTAGTGAGTAAGTCAATTGAGATCGGTACTTTTTTCTAATAAGGTCAAAGTGTCAAATATCCTACCAATTTAGGTATGCAATTTGTCTTGACCATGACAAAAGTTATGTTGAAAGTACTGATTCGAGTTAATCTCGAAGTATAATGGACTGGTCCAAATGTGTGAATTAATTTCTATAGCATGATGGTGCAAAGGAATTAATTTATACGTGAGTGTCTTATGTATTACACTATTACCTTAATCAGCTACGGAGTAGTGATTGCTATTGCCCTTGCCTCCAATCCCATTTTTCATGCTCGCACTAAGCATGTGGGGGTAGATGTTCATTTTCTTCTTCTTCTTCTGATGAATCATTGTTTGATCATAAAAAGAACCAGTTGATGCAATTTTCTTTACATGAATCATGTTTTAATTAAGTTTTATCTGTAGTTGCTGCTATATTGTACAATGAACAAGATTGGTCCTTGTTATTTTTCGCTGAAGTTCTGCTTTATGAAACTTGATTATAAAATTAGGCTCCATAGAGTGATGTTAGTCTTTAGAAGATCATTATAACAATATAACGAATCTCAATTGAACCAAGAATATTACTAGAATTGTTTCTGTTTAAATATATGAACATTCCATTCTTATCTATATTTAATACGAGCTAAAATAAGGTTTTTCATGAGTCTGGCATGATCAAACTTGGAGAACATGGACCAAACCCGCTGGTCTGACTTTTAAACAGGCAACCGACTTGCAAATTTTTCCAAGATATGCTACTTGACCCCATTGCTAGTGAACAGGTCAACTTTGGTGCCTCATCAGAATTGATGGTTGGGCCGAGTTTGGTAAGTATTCATAATACACCAACAAACATTACCTAATTTTTTTTTTTTTTATGCAACATATTTCTTAGTTTCTAAAATCTCCACCCACACTGCATAATCACTTATTACTGTTGTTTGATCCAACATAGTACTGTTCAACTGTCTTGAGCCAGCCCACATCATCATGCGAATGGGGAACCAAATAAACGTTCATTTCGCATCTACGATGCCACTCCCAGTGTTGTATTTTATATACCCATTGACATCATATGCTCAATGCAAGAAACCCGGATCTCAGTTCCAGAAACTTCATCAACCTTTTCATCCAACAAATCATTGACGTTGTAGGTGACAGAGCCAAATGGTCAACAGTATATCTGGCTAAGATATGTGTTTTTGAAACTAAGAGAGAAGTCTAAGAAGTGATTACCAAATAGATTTGCCTAGTTCTGAACCTGGCAAGCGAATATAGATGTTCGGCTGGCTATCTACTCCAGGAACCTCTCTGATATCAATCAAATCCCTATACCACACCAAGAACCCAATGACACCATCATGTATAAACAGAGTAGCATATGCTGCACAAGAACAGCTTTTGGTACACTCTACTTGACATTCATCAAAACTCGTACTAATATTCTACTGAGACTGGTCCGGGAAGTTGGCTTCCACCTTTAGAAACCCATCTCCACTCTGGAAATTTAGAGACCTAATTCGAGTGCATCCAATGGACCAGTCTTGGTGAGAATCCCTTCAGACACTCACATATTGGTACTTTTTGCGGATAGAATTAGGACCATATTGACCATAATTGTCACACAAATGACTTGGTATTTTGAGAATAATGCACTGTTAAAAGAATCATATACTAAATCATGTCTTCATCAAATGCCAATTTCGGTTTAAAGGTACCGTGGGAAGGGAAGGGAGATTACTGAAGTAATGCTCATTCCATGGTCCATTACGGCATCTTTTTACCTTCCTGTTGTAGATTACCAGTTCAAAGAGGCCATGATTTTCAACCCTGTAGGCCCAAGGGATGGATCATCAGTACGTCTCCAAGATTCAAGTATTTATCTAGCTCAGTACCAAGGTAGTTGACCATCTCCATTCCTTGTATCCTGGTGTCACCAGGAAAACCAAAATTCTGCCACGTATGGCTTTGTGGAAAAGCTCCATTTGTCTTGTCTATTAATACAAGGTTTCCAGTATCTCAAAGCCATAATCAATGTCAATTTCATTATTTCCTTTTCATCACTTACTTTCAATCTGTGGAATAACTAATCAATATTTTGTCAAACACGTTTACTTGACTTTTTTTACAGCCACATAAATTGCGGGGGGTTTTTTCCCATGGAAAAATGGTAAAGAAGCTTATGCTTGGAAATCAGGCAACGTATTAAGTATTCATTTTTTCCGTAGATATTTTCATTCCATGGAGGAAAAAATCACATAATTGGTCTTTAATTTGTTTTAGTTCATTTACAGGTAGGGTTGGACAAAAGTTTCGAACCAAATCGAACTAAAATGAATCGAGCGATTCTTCTTAAGTTAAATACTCAAACGGGTTTCTAAATCGAGAACCGACAGATTTAGTTCGGTTCTAGACCAAAAATCGAAAAATCGAATAAGAATCGAATCTCCCTAATTTTTTTAATTTTTTATCTTAAATAAGTCAAATTTCTTTTTTTAAAATAAATTTGCTAACTAATTAATTTAATCCAAACTCAAAATATGATTTTACTATTTCTAATTTTCAGTCAAACTCAACTTAATCAAATTGATCTAGGTTTCACTCAAATCTCTTATTGTACTGTGATAAGTGTATTTTCTACACTTATTCGGGATTTGAAACTCTAGGATTGTGTTGTCTTTTTGGCAAAATATGGCCTAAATTATGTTATATTGCATCTTGTAGGTAAAACTCAATGTTTGATGAAAAATTGGAGAAAAGAATTCGAAAATAGCGAAAAAGGGTAAAATCCAAAGTTCAAAGATCAAATTGAAAATACTCAAGAAGATACATTGAATATTATTAGGAGACAATTGGATGAAATTAGAATTCAAAAAGGAATTGAACATTATCAAAGTATTATCAAAATCAATTTCCAATCGCTCAAGATATCTTCAAGATTTTTAGCCGAACATTGAGACCCCTTTTTCGCATAGTAAACGTCCGAATTGGAAAAACTCTACTTCAATCAAAGTTGTAGCCCTTTGCGTTATCTTTCCAACCCACTTTGAATCGAATCAATCGGATATCAAAAGAGAAAGTTATGACTAAAATACGAATTGCTATGCAGAGACAAAATCTGTGCGCAAATGCAACTTTCCTTATTCGATTAGAACTCTTTTGAAAACTAATTTGGACGTGATTTTCAACCAATTTTCGACTCCTATAAAAAGAGAACAGCAGAATACATATGGAGAACCTCCCTAGACGTAAAAACATATATATTATACATATTTTGGAGGCGAAAAACATGGCTAACAACGTGGAATCAAGGCGAATTGCATAGGATATTGAAAATTTTTCATCCGAATTCAAGATTCACATCAAGAATTTGGATTTTTCCTACTTCCATCTTTCTTATTT